AATTCGAGTAAGTTGTAGTGTTCCGTAAAATGTTATGATTGTTTTTTGTTTGCCTCTTGTTTTGTATCTTTTTTTTTGCTTTGTGCTTTTCTTTTTTTATTTTTCACTCTTTTACGAAGTATGTTTTAAGACGTGCAAAAGCAGGAACACAGATTGAGATGTACTGACGACCTTGTGATTACGCATGCAATTTTATTGCACATTGTTAGTTTGTTTGATATTGACCGCATTCATTCCGTTGGAGCGGTCGAGCCACGGGTGCAGAGCGTCTAGTATAAATCAGTTTCTGAGTTCTTCTCATTTCTCATTCTTCTTCTAACATACATTTATTTTGCGTTTTTTGGGTATAATAATTTACACAGAGGCGAAGAAGAGCTTGGCAACACAGGCGATCGAACAAAAATAATGACCCAAAATAAGGTCATTGAGCCGATAAAAAAAGTCGACATAATTTGGGCCGAATCAATTTTTTTAGCGAAACAAAAAAAAATTAAAGAAAGAAATCCGAAGTCATGGCGAGTAAAATTACAAATTGAAGGAGTTAATCAAAAATTAAAAGCAAGATTAATGAACAATATGAATATGAACAATAATGAATTGTTTTTGATAGCCAAAGAGTGATGTGACTTGGGAAATGTTTTTGCTTGTAAACCACACTGAAGATATAATACTTGGCACAGTAGCCGATGTAAGTCCCCCAAGACTCCATCACGGACTCGGCCCCTTGATTGCCCGAAGAGTCCCTCATTTAATATTATTTCAAGAATTCCATTTTAAGCTGGCTGAACCTAAAATTTGTCTTTAGGCGCCGTTGGCGCCAATATACACTGAATTTGAAATGGAAGTGCGCGCTAGAAAAAATGCAATTTTTGGTCAAAATTGGCCAAAAACTGTCTAAATACGAGCTCGGAAAATCAACTTGGTTGATCAAAAATAATAAAGGACGAAAAAGTTCTCAAATTTTTCTTGAAAATCTGCCCCCTCCTCGATAAAACTCTAGATCCACCCTTGATTTGGCACGAATAATGGTTTATTTAAATGAGAGAGCTTGAATATGCTGCTGGTAAATCACTAGTTGCAAAGAAAATACGAAATTTACTACTGGTAGTTGGACCAAACTAGTTTCACCGATACTTTTATAGGGCAAAACCCGATTATGATTCAATTTTTGGTTTAAAAAATGTGCGAACTTAATTTAAGTACAGAGACGAGGCGATATAGAATACAGACCACTTGCGATATGAAACAAGATAATCGCTGTCGAAAAAGTCAGACAAATGCAAAGTAGTACTTTTCAACGCCTGCAAAACACATAAAAAGCATGAGAAATTAGCAGACAGAAATTGAGAAAATGGAAATGTCTAGAAAAAATTGTGCTTTGGAAATAGCATTCAAAAAATAGAATAAAAGCAGCTATTTTTAATAAAGTCCATGCTATGAAAGCTAAATATGGCGGATAAACTCATCTGCGCAAACTAATCTGCAAAAAAACTAATTTGCTCAACAAAATTCAACAAAAAATGGGGAGAGCAGCTTAAAAGTTAAGTTGCAAAAGTCAAACTGATCCTTTCTGCCTTAAAAAGAAACAAATCCAATTTGCTTAAACTGTATAACTAACTTATTAGAACAGATTATATATGGAAATCAAATATTGAAAATAAGAACACCGCTTCCAGCGGCCTTTTCATTTATTTTTAGCACTTATTTTGTCACTAATATTGTATTAGTGTTTGTCACTAATGTTGGTAGTACCCGATTGCAATACCCTTGCTTATCACTAAATAAACAGTTAGCAACGCGCAACCAGAAATTTGGTCATGAGACGGTGACTTATTAGGTTTAAACAGTAAAAATAACGGCTATAAAAAATTTTTTAAATAGGCAAAATATCAGAGGACGATTAGTTTTGAGATTATCATAATTTTTCTCTAAATTCAATTAATTGAAACTAAAAATACTCTGTTAATTTTAAATTTTGACTAATAATTATTGATTCAATTATGCTACTGACATGCTCAATTTCTTGAAAATTAAAAATTGCTACCGACTGCTTCAAATGTTAAGGTCAATTTTCTGTTGTACAGTTTTTCTCAGAATTTTATTCTGATTTTTAAGAAAAGAGTATCAATTGAAAGACCGCTTGTTTTTTACTGCCTGCATACTCACCTAGAGTCTTTTTTTTTACATCTATAGCCTTCGAAAAAGTGTGGGGGAATATTTGAACATATAACTGTGAAGCATACAGCTTGGAAATGGCAATATTGTTTGCGATAAAAAAACGTCATTATTTAGATACCAATCTTAAATGTTTCACACAGAGGTGAAGTGGAGCTTAGCGCCACTTGTGATGCAATTCAAACATAAAAAACCATGTCGAAAAAAGTTTTAGATGTTGAAAACTAGGTGAACCAAAATTTGACTTTTCAGATGGTAATACCTTCTAGTGTGAAAATTTTGGTTAGTGAACGCTCATGCAGAAGAGCTTCCAACTACCCCTTATCTCATTGACCCACAATATCAGATTTGGAATAGTAGTTTTCGAGAAAAGGCAAAAGTCTTTAAAAATTTTTTTGTCAAATCAAAATTTTACTTTTTGGAGAGCCCGAATTCAAAAATTTAGGCGAAGTTGCATAAACCATTGAACTTCCTGAAACCCGTACTGAGAATTAAACTCATTATTTCAGGTATGGCAGGGTTTTTTTTCAAAAATAATGAAAAATCAAAAATTTGAAATTTCAGAGGGTGATAACTTCTTGCGTCAAACTTTTTATTAGTTTCCGCTAATGCAGAGAAGCTTCCCACTACATCTTATCTCATTGAACTTACAATATCAGATTTGAGAGGTTGGTTTTCGAAAAAAAAGTCGAAAGGTCCACAAAACTTTCAAAAATCACTATTCCGATGTTCAAAAATTTGTGTGCAAAAAAAATTGGTCGTAGCCACTTGTGCAGAATAGATTTTCAAAACAACTCTTTCCATTGAAACCAAAAATTTATATTTGAGAGGGGTAGATTTCGACAAAAGGAAAAATAATCAAAAATATGGGTCAAATATTCACACACACTTTTTCGAAGGCTATAAATGTAAAAAAAGTTGCTACGGAAGTGTGTAGGCCAAAAAAGAATAAACGGTCTTTTAGTTGATACTCTTTTCTTGAAATTCAGAATAAAATTCTGACAAAAACTAAAAGTTTTGCAAAAAGACAAAAATTTTTCCAAAACGAAAAAAAGAAAATTCAACAGATAGATTGGTAAACATACAACCAACTTGAAAGTGCGGCGGGGAGTAAAAAAATTTAAGTTGATCTTGAAATGTCACAAAAGTAGGTCTTTAAGCCGATGAAAAAATTCGACCGAAATTTTTTTGACCGAGGAAATTTGAAGTCAAGGTAAGTAAAATCACAAAATGTAGGCGTACATCAAACACTTAAACAACACTAAAAAAACGTGGGAAAGTAAAGAAAAAAAAACAATTCACAGATGTGACAACTAAGCCGACATCAGATAAGCAGACAAATAATTGGCGGACACATTTTTTTTGAAACAATGTTTCCCGTTTGAAAAAAAAACAAGTCCTGATCAGACTCGAACCCAAGGACCTCTGCCGTCCCAGGCATTTTTGTTACCTCCACGCTAAGTTGGCCAGGAACGCTAAAAAATTGAATATATTATGAAACAAGGTAGAGATGAGTCCAGACGTCCAAATGGTCCTGCGAACAAAAATGTTTACGGAAAAAAACTTTTGAATGAAAATTGAATTTAGGTTTTATGACTTAACAATAACCCAAGAGTTTTTTGCCAAAAAGGACCCCGCAACTTCACTTTTTCCAAATCATACTTTTGAAAATGACAAGAATGGCAGGAGACAAGAATGGCAGAATGACAGAAGAATGGCAGGAGAACGACAAGAAAATGACTGAAGAATGTTTTTTGGGACTTTCTTACTCCATTGTCATGACTCGATGCACCAGATATTATCATATTTTCATGTCAAATGACAAACTATCTAATGAAATATAAAAATTCAGTATTTTTTGTCAGGTGCGTGCCTACCAGATAAAATAGACTTTCTGAAAAAAACTTCATGAAATTATGCTGATTTTTTCATAAAAAGTTATTTATGAATAGGACTGCTGTGTAAATAGCACAGAATGTTCCGACCATATCTTACAAAAATACTTTTTTCATGCTTATTTTTTCAAACAAGTGTTGTTTTTTTGTGCGTGGTTTGATGAAAGGATGAAAAACACCAGATATTTCGGTATATTTGAGTCACAGTAAAATAAGCAAATTGGGCAAGTTTTGTCGAAAAATTACTAGAAAAAAAAACAAATTAGTTTTTTCTACTTGTTTGCAGAAAGTGTTTTGAGTTTTTGAAGTTTTTAATTCCAAAATGGCGCGAAAAACTTCAAAAACATTTTTACTTAAGCTTCATGACTCATCTTTGTAAAATAAGCTGGCTAGTTTGCTTTAATTTCACGAAATGAGACAAAATTTTAAACCGTTTTTTTACCTTGTGACGATGAATTTGATTTTTTTAAATGTCGTTTGAATCAGGACCGAAAGGTCTTTAATATGATATATCAGTCAATCTATTACGATGCTTGTCAGCTGTCCGATCATTTTTTTATAATTAGTCTTTGAGTTAACTCGTTTTCTTAGCTTTATTGATAAATATAACGGAGAGTAGCTTCCTCGTAGGCTGAACAGTCTGTTATACTTTTCCTGATGCAATGACATATTATCTATTGTGTATTTTCTGCACAAGAGATTTGTGCTCATGTAATTTTGAGCTCATGTAATTATTTCGGCTCATATCATTTTGAGTAAAGAAGGCGGCACAAAATTTTTGGCTCAACCGGGTAATTTGGAAGCTTCTGATATCTGCGAAACTTCAAGTGATCCACATTTAAAAAAATTCCACATTATGAACCTTCTTAGATTTTCGAGCGTCTCGCCGCAAACCCTATCCTAACTTTAATCTGCTTGAACTTAAGTTAATAAGTTAGAAACTTTATTTTTATTCATTTTCAATACTTAATTTTCAAAACAATCAAACAGATTTGTATCTTTTGTCCCTTATTTCGGCTAGAGTCCAACCAAAAAATACTTTAACTTATATCAGTCCTTTGTTGAACAGTCAGTAGTCCTTTTAGCTATTGGCCATTTGGAATTTCTAGTTGGTTTCCATATTCTCATCAGTCTTTTTCTCGTTATCTTTCTCTTTATCATCTTCATCTTTCTTCCCTTCATTTTCTCCGCCTGGCTTAGAATCTGATGTGGACTGTTTCTCCTTTACTTTCTTATTCAGTGCCTCGACAAACTTTGCTAAGTCTCCGCTGTTTGCAGCCTCTTCTGCTTCTGAGCCCAGTTCAAACTGGCTGATGACTGGAGCCAACTGGCCACTGCTAAAAGCGGCACTGAACAAAGACAGAGACTGTCTGAATTGAGGTGCAGCCAGCGACTGTCGTAGCTCTGTTGCTGCAGCTGTTTTAGAACCCGACGGCCCCTCTGGTGTTGCCGGAACGTGGGCACTCAGACGCTCTATGATGTGTGGCGATGCCAGCAGAGATGACAGATCCAGCGGTAAAGCTGCCGCTAGATTCACATGTGAGCTGAAACAGCAGCCATGCTTTCATACTCAAAAGCGCTCCAATATAGAAAACCAATAAAATTATTTCATAGAAATAGCTTAAATATACGTAGAAGTCATTCAGAATAGAATGCCATGATCAAAAAGTCTTAAGAATTTATTCACTTACGGTGCTCCTTTTGAACTAAGATTGCTCATGAGGTCCTGGAATTGATCCAACTGCATGGTCGATGGCTGCTGACTGCTGCTCACTGCCTTCGAGGTGTTGGCCTTTGCTGTTGCGGCTTGTTCGGACTCCGAGGCCCTTGCACTGCGTACACGGGACCCAGCCCCGGCTGCCCCACTCGAAGAACTACCAGTTGCTCCTGCTCCTGCGGCAGCCGCACTGAGTCGGCTTCCCAGGGCACCCGACTGGAACAGCTGCTGCAACATCTGTTCCTGGGAAGATCCCCCGGGACCACCTCCCGCAGCTCCAAACATATGGGAGAGTAACTGTTCAGTACTAGTGCTGTTCATATTAGGCATAGCATCCTGGGACTCCTCGGGGTCGTTGAGGATCTTGTTGATTTTTTCAGAGTACTCTTCATCCTTGGTTTCCTTCGGTTCCTGCATCCAGAAGAAGAGTTTCTTGGCTGAGCTGGTGAAGCGCAGCAGGAACACTCTCCCAGTGGTGCACTGACTCACCCGACTCCACTTGCAGTCATCCGGGAAAACTACACCAGTAAAAACAATAATAATGCTTTCAAATTAGCCGGAGTGAAACAGGAGAAACATTCTTTCCATATTTGATCTCGATGCTCTCTTCTACTTGATAGATCTAAGACTTAAAATCTAAAATAGGATTTGAGATCTTGAATATCTGCAGCGGATAGTGATGCCTGCGAGTATGAGTATATTTCTGAATAATTTTACTGAAACCATCTTGAGAAGTAACGGATCAGCTCAATCTTAACTATTCAGAGGTAAAATTTTACCTCTCTCTCCCATGCTCGACTCGCGCTATCAACGATGTTATGCCGCGTTAAGATATTCTACAAGGTTCTGTATCATGACAAAATATGGCTAAAAATTCAGAGGCGAGAGAAAAATTGATGCTTAAGGATTAGATCACCCTCTGTGAGCTTTAGGCAAATTTACCCAGGAATATCGGGTTCGACCATAAAATATCATTCCTCCTAAGCGTTGCTTTCTTTTTATGATCTTGTGCACTATTATTATGATACCATCCATCCCTTATTTTGTTTCCTATTTTGAATAAAAACACATTTTTGCATTCTTATTCCGGCTGATGAAGTTGATTCTGGGCTAAATTTAGCACCCGATATTTCCGGGTAAGCTTAGTCAAGGGAGTAAAAAAATTTAAGTTGATCTTGAAATGTCACAAAAGTAGGTCTTTAAGCCGATGAAAAAATTCGACCGAAATTTTTTTGACCGAGGAAATTTGAAGTCAAGGTAAGTAAAATCACAAAATGTAGGCGTACATCAAACACTTAAACAACACTAAAAAAACGTGGGAAAGTAAAGAAAAAAAAACAATTCACAGATGTGACAACTAAGCCGACATCAGATAAGCAGACAAATAATTGGCGGACACATTTTTTTTGAAACAATGTTTCCCGTTTGAAAAAAAAACAAGTCCTGATCAGACTCGAACCCAAGGACCTCTGCCGTCCCAGGCATTTTTGTTACCTCCACGCTAAGTTGGCCAGGAACGCTAAAAAATTGAATATATTATGAAACAAGGTAGAGATGAGTCCAGACGTCCAAATGGTCCTGCGAACAAAAATGTTTACGGAAAAAAACTTTTGAATGAAAATTGAATTTAGGTTTTATGACTTAACAATAACCCAAGAGTTTTTTTGCCAAAAAGGACCCCGCAACTTCACTTTTTCCAAATCATACTTTTGAAAATGACAAGAATGGCAGGAGACAAGAATGGCAGAATGACAGAAGAATGGCAGGAGAACGACAAGAAAATGACTGAAGAATGTTTTTTGGGACTTTCTTACTCCATTGTCATGACTCGATGCACCAGATATTATCATATTTTCATGTCAAATGACAAACTATCTAATGAAATATAAAAATTCAGTATTTTTTGTCAGGTGCGTGCCTACCAGATAAAATAGACTTTCTGAAAAAAACTTCATGAAATTATGCTGATTTTTTCATAAAAAGTTATTTATGAATAGGACTGCTGTGTAAATAGCACAGAATGTTCCGACCATATCTTACAAAAATACTTTTTTCATGCTTATTTTTTCAAACAAGTGTTGTTTTTTTGTGCGTGGTTTGATGAAAGGATGAAAAACACCAGATATTTCGGTATATTTGAGTCACAGTAAAATAAGCAAATTGGGCAAGTTTTGTCGAAAAATTACTAGAAAAAAAAACAAATTAGTTTTTTCTACTTGTTTGCAGAAAGTGTTTTGAGTTTTTGAAGTTTTTAATTCCAAAATGGCGCGAAAAACTTCAAAAACATTTTTACTTAAGCTTCATGACTCATCTTTGTAAAATAAGCTGGCTAGTTTGCTTTAATTTCACGAAATGAGACAAAATTTTAAACCGTTTTTTTACCTTGTGACGATGAATTTGATTTTTTTAAATGTCGTTTGAATCAGGACCGAAAGGTCTTTAATATGATATATCAGTCAATCTATTACGATGCTTGTCAGCTGTCCGATCATTTTTTTATAATTAGTCTTTGAGTTAACTCGTTTTCTTAGCTTTATTGATAAATATAACGGAGAGTAGCTTCCTCGTAGGCTGAACAGTCTGTTATACTTTTCCTGATGCAATGACATATTATCTATTGTGTATTTTCTGCACAAGAGATTTGTGCTCATGTAATTTTGAGCTCATGTAATTATTTCGGCTCATATCATTTTGAGTAAAGAAGGCGGCACAAAATTTTTGGCTCAACCGGGTAATTTGGAAGCTTCTGATATCTGCGAAACTTCAAGTGATCCACATTTAAAAAAATTCCACATTATGAACCTTCTTAGATTTTCGAGCGTCTCGCCGCAAACCCTATCCTAACTTTAATCTGCTTGAACTTAAGTTAATAAGTTAGAAACTTTATTTTTATTCATTTTCAATACTTAATTTTCAAAACAATCAAACAGATTTGTATCTTTTGTCCCTTATTTCGGCTAGAGTCCAACCAAAAAATACTTTAACTTATATCAGTCCTTTGTTGAACAGTCAGTAGTCCTTTTAGCTATTGGCCATTTGGAATTTCTAGTTGGTTTCCATATTCTCATCAGTCTTTTTCTCGTTATCTTTCTCTTTATCATCTTCATCTTTCTTCCCTTCATTTTCTCCGCCTGGCTTAGAATCTGATGTGGACTGTTTCTCCTTTACTTTCTTATTCAGTGCCTCGACAAACTTTGCTAAGTCTCCGCTGTTTGCAGCCTCTTCTGCTTCTGAGCCCAGTTCAAACTGGCTGATGACTGGAGCCAACTGGCCACTGCTAAAAGCGGCACTGAACAAAGACAGAGACTGTCTGAATTGAGGTGCAGCCAGCGACTGTCGTAGCTCTGTTGCTGCAGCTGTTTTAGAACCCGACGGCCCCTCTGGTGTTGCCGGAACGTGGGCACTCAGACGCTCTATGATGTGTGGCGATGCCAGCATAGATGACAGATCCAGCGGTAAAGCTGCAGCTAGGTTCACATGTGAGCTGAAACAGCAGCCATGCTTTCATATTCAAAAGCGCTCCAATATAGAAACCGAATAAAAATATTTCATAGAAATAGCTTAAATCTACGTCGAAGCGATTCAGAATAGAATGTCATGATCAAAAAGTCTTAAAAATCTCTGAAAGAATTTATTCACTTACGTTGCTCCTTTTGAACTGAGATTGCTCATGAGGTCCTGGAATTGATCCAACTGCATGGTCGATGGCTGCTGACTGCTGCTCACTGCCTTCGAGGTGTTGGCCTTTGCTGTTGCGGCTTGTTCAGACTCCGAGGCCCTTGCACTGCGTACACGGGACCCAGCCCCGGCTGCCCCACCCGAAGAACTGCCAGTTGCTCCTGCTCCTGCGGCAGCCGCACTGAGTCTGCTTCCCAGGGCACCCGACTGGAACAGCTGCTGCAACATCTGTTCCTGGGAAGATCCCCCAGGACCACCTCCTGCAGCTCCAAACATATGGGAGAGTAACTGTTCAGTACTAGTGCTGTTCATATTAGGCATAGCATCCTGGGACTCCTCGGGGTCGTTGAGGATCTTGTTGATTTTTTCAGAGTACTCTTCATCCTTGGTTTCCTTCGGTTCCTGCATCCAGAAGAAGAGTTTCTTAGCTGAGCTGGTGAAGCGCAGCAGGAACACTCTCCCAGTGGTACACTGACTCACCCGACTCCACTTGCAGTCATCCGGGAAAACTACACCAGTAAAAACAATAATAATGCTTTCAAATTATCCGGAATGAAATAGGAGAAACATTTTTTCCATATTTGATCTCGATGCTCTCTTCTGGTTGATAGATCTAAGACTTAAAATCTAAAATCGGATTTGAGATCTTGAATATCTGCAGCGGATAGTGATGCCTGCGAGTATGAATATATTACTGACTTATTTTACTGAAATCGTCTTGAGAAGTACCGGATCAGCTCAATCTTAACTACTCAGAGGTAAAATTTTACCTCTCTCTCCCATGCTCGACTCGCGCTATCAACGATGTTATGCCGCGTTGAGATATTCTACAAGGTTCTGTATCAGGACCAAATATGGCTAAAAATTCAGAGGCGAGAGAAAAATTGATGCTTAAGGATTAGATCACCCTCTGTGAGCTTTAGGCAAATTTACCCAGGAATATCGAGTTCGACCATAAAATATCATTCCTCCTAAGCGTTGCTTTCCTTTTATGATCTTTCGCACTGTTATTATGATACCATCCATCCCTTATTTTGTTTCCTATTTTGAATGAAACACACTTTTGTATTATTATTCCGGCTGATGAAATTGATTCTGGGCTAAATTTAGCACCCGATATTTCCGGGTAAGCTTAGTCAAGCTACGTACCAATGAGATCATCCTCAACAGTCCCACTGGTTCTATCCTTCCAGCACACATGTGTCAACATGGTCTCCCTCTCGCGGTGAATGTAGAAAAGACCCTTCCTCTTATCAGGCACCACCTTAGTGCCCTTCAGTTGCATCTTACCCGCCCGGAACTCAATCAGATTGCGCGAAGCAGACGAGGAGTCAGCGCCTCCCGAACCCCTGGCGGAGGAAGATCCGGCGGAAAACAGAGCGGCCATTTATATCAGTCTGAAAACAATACAGTCTTTTTAGAGGAATACAATGCTGTTTGCGACGTAAATATTTGCGGCGTTGCAATCGTGAATGTTTGCGGCGATGAATGTTTGCGGCATTGCTTGCGGGTTCAATATAGACTATTTTTGAAATGAGAAACGCACATATGCAGTTTTCCATTTTAGAGAGCAGTCGACAGTCATTCGATCAAAATCTAGCCTAAACTTCGAAACTAGTGTTTTTCTTGACCGGTATATTTTTACCTTTCTTTGAACTAATGAGAGGAATTGAACTTTCAAAAAAACTTGTCTTTCCAGAAGAAAAAAAACACCATCACGACCTATGTAAGTATTTTCATCACGTTCATTGAAACCATTATAAGCATTTGAATAACCTGCAGTTGTCCAAATTTGCTCCAGCTTTTTTTTGAAATTTGGATTATTTTTCAGTGTGCTTTTCTTGAAGCAATTCTATCAACCCTAAAACATTACCTTGCTAGCGAGCAAAAAAAATAGACAAGAAAGACAATTTGAAAACAAAATTCTCTTGACGTTCCAGGGCTTCCCACCACTTGTAATACAAAAATACAAGCCATATAAAAAACAGCGTAACAAATACAGCGTTACTGCAAGAAAAAACGACATCTTTCATAATTTTTTAATATCTTTTTGAAATATAACATAAGTACGATATTAAGATTTAGCAATTCTCTAAACCAAATGATTCATATAAGCTCACTTGACAAGGCGAATCAAACATTTGTGAAAGACAAAAACGGGTAACTTTTACAAGGCCATAGTACTGGTAAATATATAGTTTTTCAAACTATTGTAATCAGATTTCAAAAATTTTAATAAAGGCACTAATTTAAAATTTTAAATATAAAATATCATTAAAAAATAAGAAAAAATTGAGCGAAAATTCTTGGCACGCAATTGTTTGCACATAATTGCTTGTAAACAAAAGCTCGGAAAAATTTGCAGAAAAAAGCTCGGCAAATACTAGCAGAAAAAAGCTCGGCAAAAAATCCGAATTTCAAAAAAAAAACAGAGGCAACTTTGTACAACAGGAGGCTATTTAAATGCTGAGTGTCTATGAGCGTAACGAAAATACTTATATATATCTTGATGGTTTTTTATCGTATAAGGTTCTTATTATGATTATGGTAATCCTTACTATTTGTTCTTATTATGCTCCTATAAGCTGGTCTCTAAAACGCAAATGTCGTACTTGCATTGCTTGAACAAAATTATAATACCAATTTTGAATTTAATGTCCTTAATTGTTTTCACTGAAGCCTTAATTTGATCTCGTTATTTTACTACTACTACTACAACTTTACCATTATTTTTAACTCCTGACCTTTGTCTTTGCAGGCATGTGCGTTACCTCTACGCCGTATAAGCGAACAAACGCCCTGATTTTGATTTCATGTGAATCAAAGTGATTTTGAAAATATGGTAAATAAGCCGACAGAATAAAGAAAGACATCCAATAGGCTGAAAGTTTTATTGCTCAAGAGAATTTTATTGCTCAATTTTTGGCGCAATCGAAAAAATTGCGCCAAAAATTGAGCAATAAATTGCGGCTGATTTCGACAAAAATTGCTACAAAAATCCGAAAATTGTATCATATTGCGTTATAATTGCTACGAAAATCTACGAGAAAAACAATAAAAATGTCTGGATAATAAAAGGGAAAATTGACAATACGTTGTATGATCACGCACACAAGCCGCGACGTCAGTAAATTTGCTCAAGCATTTTGTTCAATTTTAATTTATTTTCGAGTAACACCAAGTTTTTTCAGAAGAAAACTTCATTTTGTTTGTAAGAGCAACAACAAGTCAACACGTATCGTGCGTACAACTGATAGAAGATCCAATTATCTTAATTAAGCATCTGAGAATTAGATTAAACCACGAAATAAATGGTGAAAATATGATGTATTTCTTAATAAAATCATTACCAACTCCAGAAACCTCAATCTTTAAGCTCTTCAAATTTCCAGACTCTAAATTAATTGGTTTTATGAAAAACATTTCCATTTTATGAAAACTGTTTCAGTAAAATTCAGTTATTTTTATTCTATCATAAAAAAAGTAAAAAAAGAAAAATTCCACAGGAAAAACTTGCGCAACCGCTTCTTTCGATTAAAATTTTCATCTCAGATTTGATAGGGTAGTTTAAGAACATACAAAAAGTTTCTAAGAAAAACGGTCAAGTTCAAAAACTTGACTTTCCGAGATAATGAACTTTTCTCTGCAAAAAGAAGTTTGTAGCCGCGTTAGCAGAAAATATTTACAAAAACCATGTTTCTCGATTGACCACTTAATTTAGGAATTGGCAGGGTAGTTTTCGAGGAAAGTAAGTTTCCAAAAACGGTCAAAGTTTCAAATTTTTCATTTATTTTCAGTCCATAACTTTTTCTGAAAGAAACTGAGTGTATAAAACTGTAAAAGTAAAGTTCTAACAACCTAGTGTGTCAATTAAACATATGATATCAGATTTGGCAAGATAATTATCGAGAAAAGTCAAAAAACGGTCATCAAATAAAAAAATTGACATTTCCGAGAAACCTGTTTTACGTCAACAAAATTTGCGCTTGATTGCTCGTGGAAACAAGCTTTCCACGACCGCTTCTGTGGATTGAACCCAAATTATCGGATATGTGAGGAAATTTTTCGTTAAAAATCGTAAAATTAGAAAGAAAACGCTCAAAAAATTGACTTTTCCGAGGACAATAACGATTTGTGTAACCAAACTGTGAGTGGCCGCTATTGCAGGAAGCTTCTCACTACCCGTTATCTCCATTGAACCCACAATCTCAAATGAATACTCTCCGTTGTATTCATTGAAACCAAAGTCTCAGATTTGGTAGGCTTTTTTTGACAAACGAAAAAAAAATCCAAAAAAATGGTCAAATATTCCCCCACAGGCTTTTTCAAAGGCTGGAAACAAAGGGTTAAAGCAAAATGAGACCAGAGGAGTATGCGGGCACACTTTCAAAGGAAACCGTTTTTGTGAAAATTGGTAGAAGTGTTTAGGAGAAAAAAATCCAAAACTTCTAAAAAAAAAAGTAGAAAACCCAATCCCATACACTTTCATAATATGTTTTTATCAACCAGAAATTCTAGGCAAACAAGCGAAACAAGACATTTGAAATTCAAATTAGCAACTGAACAAATTTCACAAAGCAGAAACAAGGCCGACAATCTTTGAGCAGACACCAGTTGAGCCAAAAAAAAATTGATTTTTTTTTCAAAAACTCTTTAAAAGTTTCAAGTCCCCAATGAAAACACCCTAACAAGTACCCACTCAGTAGTTTAATTTAAATTTTCATAAAAATCAGCTTGTCAGCTGAACAGCAGTATCATATACCCTCTTCATAGCAGCATCAAATGAATCACTGATTTTGTTAAACTAGTTGTTGACCAGAAAAAGGTCTACGTTACGATTTGATAACGCTTGCTAATCGCAAAGCGTAAACAATTTGAGTTTCTCGAACAATTTTTGATTGACACTGTTTAACACTGACCCAATTTAAGAAAGATGGATTAGTAAGTAAAATTTCGCTTGGAATTCCGGTAATTAAATTCCATTTTCGAAACTAGATTTGTCGATCCCATTTCTGGTGACCTTTACATTTTCCCTGTTCGATAGTGGAGTTTGCCTTCCTTTTTAAAAAAAGACAGAAGGCGAATTAAACAATTCAAAAGTCAAACCGTGAAAAAGTAAATTTGAACAAATTTTAAGATTTTTCCTGAAAAAAAAACGAAAAAATCTTCACGACCTATATAGGAGTCTGAACTACGTTCATCGACTCTTAGAAAAACTAGTTGTTAAACTCAACTCAATCACTTTTTCGCTCTTATTTGAATGAAATGAAGAATTCAATTTCCATTTCTTAAATGAATTTGAAAAATCTTTAACAAACATGTGGCGTTGTGCCGCATCGGTAATGATGGTGCCCAGCAATCATTTGATTGCGGGTTCAAATCACACGTAAGGTCAGCTCTTGTAAGACAACCATAGCTTAGTCAACTTAAAATAGGTTACCTTCGGGTTAGGCCTCTGGCTGGTTAATTAAAAAAACATAGGCACCAATAGGCATTATTGAGTGCCCAAGAACTCAATAAAACAGAAAAAATAGAAGACTCTTTTTAAAGAATTTCAAGATTCGCGTTTTAAAGATGAACATAGATCACCTTTGAAATTCAAGCTGTTTTTATGAATGAGACAATTGAATTACACTGTTTTTCATCTCGCTAGAAATTCGGAGAAATAAAATCCATTTTTTAAAAAACTAGTAGTCATTCACGTTTTTCGCGCCATTTTCCCGTTAGTTGAGAGCATACATTTCCCAACTTACAAAAAAGGCAAATAAAAATGACAAATAATAACGTGTTGAAATAGAAAGTTCGCAAAAGTATACCTTATTAAATTTGAAGAGTAAAACTGAAGATTATTGTTAAAAATAAAATAACATTTGTTCAAACATACTCTCAGGATTGCTGAAATTAAATGCAAAAAATATATTATAATTCAAGAAAATTTTGACCGCCTCTTTTTCGATCTATCAAACTAAATTTGAGAAAACTGGATTAATTGGCAATTTATTTATTCCCTTTATTCTGTATTCTATGAAAAATTACACTTAAAAATACATCACTTCCCGTCATTATCACTTTCATAGCAGAGAATTATTTTCCATTGAGTTACCACTTGGAAACTGAAAATTAAATTCCACTTTCGAAACTAGAAAAAGTTCTCGTTTTTTCAAGACATTTGCACGTTCGTATTTGGAGAGTGCTATTTACGTTACTTTCAGATGAATTTCATTGAACTCAACAAGTGCATGTATACCTAAGACCTATATAAGAGTCTTCACTACGTTCATAACTCTTAATAAAAAAATATAACCAGACCAGCTCAGCACACACCACGACAAAATCCAAGAATCATCAATTTTGCACAAAATGTAAGATATAATGTGAGCTTTTGATTGCAAAAAGTGAAAATTTAAGCTCGAAACAGTGAATAGTTGAAACTGCAAACGAAGTTTCAAAATTACCTTTGAACTCAAAAAACCAAACCAACACGATTGCGCTTTTTCAGAGGACCGTTTTTCTTTAATATAACTTCAAGCCCTTGCATTCAAAACAATTTCCATTCAGCTGTGATCTGACATGCAAATTTTCAATACAAAAGAACACAAAAAATGCCAACTAAAAGGCTAACTCGAAAATTCAAAAAACTATTTTAATTAGTTTCAGCTTGAAGGTCAGAATTCTTTGAAAAACTTAAGACGTTGTCCGATAAATTTGTTAACAGCTATAAGACAATCTCAGTTTGTGTTAAAAGAGAAACCAAAGGCCTAAATACGTTAAAATCCAGTTCTTACATAAACACTTAAACGCAGTTTTGAATCAATGAGACTGTAAGACCTTGTTTCAACAACACTTCAAGAGCTGACTTCATATTTTCTGCTCAGCTAAAAAAAATTGTTATTAATACAAATTGAATTTGTTTGATATAAGAGGATTCAGGGTAGCTACGATAAGTTATAAAATTCTCATGAAGACACAAATAATTTAGAAGAAAATATTTTTTGGTATTCTATTCAATTTAAACAAACATTATATTAAACACACAATTTGGTGTAAAAAAATTGAAGTAATTCCGCTATCAATTTGACTTTTATAAATTTTGAGTTTCAGAGCGAGATGAAAAAAATTAACATCGAGCATGTTTTAAATTGAAGCGGAATCAACGAAATCATTTGTTTATTAGTAGCGTAGGAACTGCACTGAATTGATTGAAAAGTTCTAAGCTAGAAAAATATTTTTGACAGAAAAGTTCGGATAATTTATCAAATACACCAAAGACGACTCTACATTTTGAATAGAATAAAACAAGTCAGAACTAGTCGAATTGAAAAGATGTCCTCGTATATTAAAAAAAAAACGGGACTAACAAAACTAGTGAATATTTATTGATAAGAAGACAAAAGCACTGTTTCGTTTCAAACGACAGACAAGCGTGCAAATTGAATAATGGATAAAACCTGAATGGGTAAAAGCAGAACTTGAACCGATATTAGAAAATAGTTCGAAAAAAAGCTCTGTAAGCCTGATTTGCAACTATTCAAATCCATTTGATTCAAAACAAATAAGAACAGGAATTAATTTTGGGATTTAAGCAAAAGAAGATAGCTTGTTTTTTATTTTCAAAAAAGGTTCAATTTCTGCGATAATTCAACGAGATAACTTTTGATCAGTTCGTGTGTCCAGAAAGACACATAGTAACTATCATTGTGAGGATATTTGAAATATTTGAGGTCATTTATAATACATTGTATTACTGTACTATTCTATGACTACTACATATACAATTGAAACTAATCTACCAACACAAAACACCAAAAGAGACAACGAAAGGAATCATTGGACCGTATTATAGGACAGAAGAAAGAATAGACGATATAGCAATCCATACCCAATCAGAAGTACTCAGCTATCTCACAAATTTATCAAATAGACATACCGAAACATGATCGACATTTCGGACCAGACAAACCAAAGCAACATTAGAAGTGGAATCCACTGATACAGCTCGCTCATACTTTAAAAAAATCCTATCAATACCAATTTGTAGTAGTTCCAATCTTATTTTGCCCATTTAGAAGGTCTTTTGATTGTCATCTGTGGAAAATGGAAGAGTGTATTTGTGGGTGGCTGAATTGGTTTGAGTCATGAAGAGGCATGTTGTGGGGATGTGGAGACGACGACAACACTGCTAAAGAAGAGGACCCCGCAACAGTCGGCTGCACTTGTTGGTGCTGTCCCGCTACTGTCGTGTAGTTGTGGTTGAAACCTACAGAGTAATTTGCGGGTCCAACAGCAGCAGCGGCCGCCGCCATCCGACTCATTTCTAAGTTGGACGCCATCTGATGCAACTGTAGCTGATTAGTACTGCCCAATATTGTTCCCTCGGAGTTTCCACAAGCAGTTCCGGAATTCCGGCGGATGCCCAGATCCATAACACTGTTTCGTATTCCATAATTATTGTTATCATTTACGTGGTTCTGTCCACTCAATTGTAAACTATCTTCGAAAAGGGTCCCGCGTTGAGATCCCTTTTCTAACGCATGGTTCATCTGCATTTGAATTCCGGTGCCATTCATCAAGGAAGACATAGACCCGGCGCCATTCCCATTTGACAAGTGGAATGTTCCCATGGATCCGCCTGCTCCTTGGAATTGCATTGCTCGATGTATCTGGTTTGAGGTATCGTTCGAAACATTGCTATTCATGTTGTTAGCTTTCAAGTGGGAATGCATGGCCATCGCAGCAGCAGAAGCAGCTGAGTTGTGATGAGTCCCGTTCAGTCTTGGGAAGGCGAATGCACTACCTGTGTTTGCCTGTTGGCTTAGTGACAGAGGCGGAGGGGTTCTCGGATCCACCAGTCCTGTCGAGTTTTGCTGTGCTGCCATATTGTACATGTGCATTTCACTGTTCGTCAACATATTGCCCAAGGGTCCTGTTCCAGCCTGGAAGTGCCCTAGCGGATGCATGTTTAGCTGGTGTGGCTGTAGATTCTGACTGCTCTGTGGTTGATGATGCTGCTGCTGATGCCTGTGCATCTTCATATGGGCATTGCGGCTCTTCACTTTCGAGAAAACTCTGCAAACAACACTTGGTCATCAATGAAAATTTAACTGAAATATCAAATCATTTGAGCTCCAGTCGATTTACAAACAATTCGAGGTCCAATTTTTGGAACATAGACAAGAGATCGTTGGAAGAGAGTCAATGAACGCGAGGAAACAAAAAGACTTGTTTTTAGAAAAAAACTTTTCGAATTTCAAAGTAAAAATTATATAAACTTAGCCCTTCTGACTTTCAAGAAATATTGATTATTGACACTTCTTTGATACAATTTACTCAATTTGTAAAAAAAAACTGGATCAACAGAAAATTGTTTTTATTCCTCTAGGAAATCTGAAAATTAAATTCCACTTTCGATGTCTACGACATTTGAACTTTATTCTTTGCCGAACCTAATTTTGCCACATTTTCGACATGAATATGCCGCCAAATTAGTAAACTGAAAGACTCAAAACTCAAAAAGAAATCATTTAAAAAAGAAACAACTAAACTACGATCTGAAATTGGAATCTTAATCATCCAAAACGTATTGCCATTGTCATTCGAAACTACAAATCGATCACGTTTTTCGTGACCTTTACACTTTTGCTGTTCGATAGTGGAGTTTGCCTTCCTTAAAACAAAACAAGAACAGAACTTAAAAAGAAATCAAAAGTCAAACCGCGAAAAATCAAATTTGAGCGTGAACAAATTTCAACACTTTTCCTGAAAAAAAAACATCACGACCTATATAAGAGTCTGAACTAGGCTCATCGACTCTTAATTAACCTGGGATTTTGGGACTAATTACTAACTTTGATGTGCATAGGTGTTACGAAAGAATTCATAATTTTTAGTATGAGTATTGAGATTCCAACAACTTCATTTTGATCTTTCTATTTTACAGATATTAAACTGCTGAAACTATCAAGCTGGATTCTTACTTTCCACATATCTCGCAGGGAAAGTGACCATTGGAGGCAGGCGACAACTCTAACACCGTCTCGTCTGTCACTGGTGACTTAGAATAACTGCCTCCTCTCCCTCCAACATCAGAACCCTGGCCAAAGGCCTGTTCCTTCTTCACTTCCACGAGAGAGCGATTATTATGGCTGATATTACTTCCTTGCGGTGATCCATTCTCAGGAGTGACAATTCTGGTTCCAGGTACAACTTCGCCTTCCGTGAGTGTTCCCGGAGGCGTCCTTCTGTACTGCTGTTGTGCTTCCACTTCGCCCACGTCCGACTCCGAATGAGTTCGAGACAACATGGACATCACGTGACCTTGGCTACCCACCAATCCAGGTGTAACTGGACTAGGATTTGCTCCATGCACAGACATCAAATGGGCATTGAGAGCTGTTATTGAGTCGAACTGGGAATGACAACTGTCCCACTGACAACTTAACTTGCGTCGCTTCTTCTCCGCACTCAACCCCCCTCCTAAATGCCACGAGGGGGACTCGCTCACACTACCACTCCTACTTAGTCCCCCAAACCCGCTACTCGCCACTCTTGTTCTCTGCCTCTGTTTCTGGTCCATGTTATTACTCATCAACTCACAGTCCTTCCCACTACCTGTACTGCCAATGCTACTAGCACTGCTACTCTGTCTGTGGATACTCGAGGCTGGACTGACAGCTGTCATTTTCTTGTGTGAGATCGTATCTCCCCCACTGTTCTTCATCTTCTTGTAGTCTGGGGATATTAGCTTCCAACAGTAGTAGTACTCCACTATGTCAGACAGTCGCTTGCTCGTCAGCTAAAAAACAGTATACACAATCTGAACTGAGATTCACGAAACATTAGAAAACAGCGTAAGACCTTAATAATTTCAAGTACTTTTAGTTCCAAAAATTTGAATCAGAAACGAGCTCCTCGTTAAAACTGTTCATTAGGTAAATATTTGGTGTTTGTACATATTTAGCCATAGCGTAGAAGTCCTTTCCGAATGAGCTCCAGCATCTCACGAACACTTGCTTCTCCTCGGTGGACCAGTAAGCACCATCTAAAACAGACGTTCGTGATAAGTATGAGATACGAGAACCCATCGCGAAGTATTTCTGTTCGTTTTTACAGCGATATTCCCAAGATATTTTACCTTTCGAATAAGACTCGACTGAGGAGCGTATTTCTTAAAATACGATTCGTGATTCACTGTATGAAAAAGTTGATACAAATAACAACAAATTAGAACTGTAATGAAAATAGAAATTAAAAATTAGAACTCTAATTTAGAAATTAGAACTGTAATTTAGAATGTCGGCTCTTTTCCACTTTCCCCCACCTTTCAAAAAGTCTAATTTTCCAGCTGTTTTCCGTGTTATTATGGCTAAACGAACTATGCTACAATGTAAGGTATGAAGAAAAAAACTGTTCACAATTGTTAGTTTGTTCATTGTGCCAAATTTCATTGCATTATGATATTGTTAAAATAGTTTTTCAAAGTTGAATTTGAAAAGGGGGGGGGGGGTGGGGGTGGTGGAAAAGAACTAGGAACTAGAATGCCTTTATTTAGCTATGCATATGTAAATGGGGGACGCACTCTATGTAATAAAGAAAGTGTTCCAAGTTTGTCTTACTCTGGTAGTGATAGTCTGACAGAGGGTCTGTGAGGTGGAGTTTTTGTCTTCTCTGCAGCAGACTACGCATGGCAACCTTCACATTGCCCCCCGCCTTCGCCAATTGGTGGAAGGCCAGCTCAGTGTTGCCCCCTCCCCCATTCACACAGCAGGAGTTCGCCGCCGACAGATACTGGTCGACTAAATAATACAAAACATACATATCACACGAACCATAGCTTAGCATAAGAAAAAGTCTGCACGATGATGGCGGGCGTCATATTATACTTCACCCCTACGTCAACCTTAACTCAGCTTAAAGTCTCGATAAAATCGTGGCTTTGTATTAGGCAGGATAAAGAAATATGACCTGATAGCCAAATTAAACTCTCCAATCAATCAATTACCCTTCAATCTGTTATTACTAATAATTGATTCTAATTAATAATCAATCAGTTATTTCTCAACATTGGCCTCAATCTCAATCACTCACTCTCGATGTCGTTTACGGACCAGTCAAACATGGGTGCCCACAAAAGGACTGCCCTATCTTCTATCTCATCCAACCCCCCTGGGGTGGAAGGAGAGGGGGGCAATTCTGCTTGGAACGATGCTCCGACATTGATCTTCGGCTCCAGTTCCGGCTCATTCATATTAGCTATGTCCGCACTGAAGCTCCCCGATCGTTCACCTAAATCACAATTAAACACATCTCAACTTTTACATGCACAAGATCATTACATCGACTCGATCAAATATACAAAACACACAGATGGCTGGAAAAGCGTCAAAGAACCCAAGAAAGCAAAAAAAAACGATTGACACTTTTCAATTACGGAAATTCGAAGAAAAAATAACATAACAATTAAGCTCTTTCGATTTCAACGATCCTTTCTGATTAAAATTTTGTTCATAAAAGCAACAAATTAGAGAAAACTGGTTCTATAGGTCATATTTTTTTTTTGCTCCGACCACTGAAAATGGAGAGGAACTTTGTACTCGGATGTTTTGTTGTCATGTGCCACAAATAATCATCGGAATAGGCCGAGTGATACATCATATTAAAACCCTTTCAACCGTGATGTGAACACTAAAACTTTCAAAAAGTTGTCCCATTGTCGAGTAACACTGGTTTGAAATTTTTGAGATTCAGTCTAATTTCGAGCGAGTCACGCTCGTTATATGGAAATTGAGTGTTTTTTAAATTTTTAGGATAAAAAACTTAGGAGTGAGTATTATGAGATTATATTACGAATAAAACTAGTTTTGGATACTTCATTTAGCGCTTATCTTTCTCAGCCGACAAAATAAGCAGACAGACTAAAATCTAAACTCTAAGCCGAAAATTTACAGTTTACAAAAAAAACAGGTCTCGGCCGGAATGGAACCACACTCCTTTGTCGTCTTAAGGAGGTGCGTGACTGCTGAACCAGATGCATTGGATGTATTACTGAATTTCAACTTATTGCACAGACGCGAAGTTGCAGCTTCGCAAACACAAGCGATAGAGTGACCAAAGATTTACAAAGCAATAAAAAACACAAATCTAATTAGGAATATAATTAACTAAAGTCACCCACACTTTTCAAGCAAGTCGAGTGTAAAGCCAAATTTTGTATAAACTTTGATTTTAAAAAACACCGGGAAATAAACTGAGTTAGAAAATTTTTGAAAAGGAGATTCTGTGTTTGTTTTTATGATTGCTTTCAGCCTTTTCATTCTTGTTTCGAACGACATCCAAAAATTTCAAAGTTTTCAGTGTCAAGAAAAACTGGTTTGAAATTTTTGATATTTAATCTAATTTCGAGCTAACAAAGCAAATATAATAGACTTATAACAAGCTTATAATATTAGTCGTAAACATAGCCAACATACATTTGGAAAAATTCAATGAACGCAAGGAAACAAAAAACTATTGCTCTTTGATTTTCAAGATTTTTAAATGGAAAGGATGAAAACTGATCAACTGTGATGCCGTGTTAAAACGGTTTTTACGCGTGACGCTGTTTTCGCACAAAAAATTGAGGAACACTTTAGCTTTTTTTAAGCTAATTGACACTAAAAAGCAACCTTGGTATATGGTTTAAAAAAATACTGAATCACAGACAGATTTACAACAGACACTATCATGTTACGATATTCTGTACACAGATTCAGCACAATCAACGATTTCATTTCGGCCTTTCAACTTTTGCAGATAGTTTCAACGAATCTTAAGAGTCGAACCAAAGTTTTAGGGAACAAAAATAACTTATCTCTATCAGAGCTGAAAGCTGATGAAATATTAGCATGGGCGGCGGTTATAAATTTATTTTGAGGTTCATAAATGGATCACTTTTTGTCTGAATTTAATGGGTAAACTAATAGTTCATATAGGTACTGCGCCACTACTCACTTCTTCGGAGTTGTCTGTTCTCAAAGGAGGCGTTTGGGAAGTTGCCGGTGAACAGCCCTGGTCCCAGTCTCTTGGGGGTGAGCATCGGAGGGGGAGTGTAGGGGGCACTCTCCAGTCCAAATCCCCCACTCATCAGAGCAGCGCCACTTCCATACCCACCCACACTCAGTCTAAGTCACAGGTCAAACAATTAAAGACAACACTGACAGAAATCTTCCAAAATGCTTATTAAGAACATTTTGCTACTAGAAATCTGCGCTAGATATTTTTCGAATAAAAACAAACAAAAACAAACTCAAAATAGTTTTAAAAGCGTTAATGGCTTTCTTCAAAGCCTCAATAAACAAACATTGATCGATATGATCGATTTTTTCAATTAAACTTAATTTACAGAACAGCTAATCAAAGATTGGAAAAGAGTAATGTTGAAAAAAATCTCAACTTTCGAACTTCAAAGAAGTAGATGCCCTTTAAGCTCTTTAAACTTCTAGAACCATTTATGATTGGCACTTTTTTGATAACATGAACCCAACTTGAGAAAACTGGACCAATAGGTAAAGTTTTTATTCCGCTGGGAAATTTTAAAAATAATTTCCACTTTCGAAATTAGAAATCGTTCACGTTTTTTTTTGCGCCATTTCCATGTTCGTATTTGGAGAGTGCTAATTACGACACTTTCAGCAGATAAATTTCAATTGGACTCAAAAAGTGCATTATATCTAAGTGCATCAATATTTTTCTTTTCAATTTAAGTCCGAAATAAGCGTGTCTTTGATTGAAACAATAATCAATTTGCTCACCTGGGAGATTTGAGGCAGCTTCGGAAGACACCAGTTGAGATATGCTTGGGAATGTGTATGGGTCTGGGCTTGAAGCTGCGTCGCATATTACTCGGAGGAGTCTCCTCACAAGACCCCAAACCATCTCTATCTCCCTGGAACTGGAATCTTTCTTCCATCACCACCGCCATAGAACTGTGATGTCTGTTACTACTACCAGGACCCATCTTGCTTCCACTTGCAGACATCGGCTGTGCAGTCATGACTGAGGGTGCTATGGAACCTGGCACTTTGAACACTCCTGGAGGAGAGAGATTGTTGTTTAGTTTCGAAGGGGACACTTCGCTTGTTGAATGTCTTCTTCCCGACACCGATACAACTAGACCCAAGTTTCCTCCTCCGCTAATTCCGCCAAAAGAACTCTTTCCCGACTCTGTGCTATATTGGGATCCCTTGGTAGGGTTAGATTCAGCTGAAATGTTAGGCGGACCGACGAGCTGCATGGCGAAGGTAGTGATGGGGACTTCCTTGGAACAATGCACAATTTCCTCGTCTAATCTACATGGGAATGTTGCAACCGAATTGCGCCTCAAAACAGGTTCGTCTGGAAATAGTTCGTCCAATCGGTCTGGAGTAAGCAGTCCTGTGTTTGCATGCGATGGAGTCAAGGGTTGTTCCTGGCTTGTGGCTGGGTTTGCAAACGGAAACAAAGAATTGTCGTTGTTGTCTACAGCGAAAGAAGCTGACAGACAGTGCTTGTAGTATTCGGGTCTCCACGACCCAGCGCCACTTGTCTGTTGACTCGTTCTCGTGAAGTTGCTCACGCTTTTCGGAATGTTCAAAGGCGCTGGTCTTTTGAACTGCGATTTGCTTGACGTCATTGCAGACGACGAAGGCATGTGAAGAGGGTATTTGATATTGCATAGCTGTGCAGAAGTCACTACTGCATCAGGAGGTAGGAATGCGTCATCATCTTCATCATCCATATCCTCCTGTTCCCCAAAACATCCTTCGACCGCCTCTGCTTCCTCTACGATATTACTTTTAAGTCGCGACACCACGTCTTTTTCTGTCGGCGAGATATTGGGCGATTCATGCCTGGAACTTGAATTACTACCCGTGCTGTCTTGAGAACCTCCAGTGGCTCCCATCCTAGCACTTGAACCATCTGTGCTCACTTTCAGATAACCCTGTTCCCGGCTGTCTGCACCACCCAGAGTCATTCGACGCCTGTTCATTTTTTCCAATTCACTCTGAATGTACTCGTCACATACAGTCAGGAACTCATCTAGCTCCGGCTTCGGTCTCAAAGCTCTTTCATCCACTGAGAAACTGCGGTTCCGGCTCGTTACCGAGTCCATTCTAGAAGTATTCAGATGTCTCGGCAACGCTGAAGGCCCTTTCAGTCCCGATTTTGTTGCTGTCAGATTACCATAGTCATCTGAGTCGGCTGCTACGCTGTAGGGCGGTGGAAGTCTTTCGTATGTCCGTGAAGTGCTTTGAACATCTCGCTTCATCTCAGAGGATGACGCCACGATTCCAGCTGTGGGTTTTGGGAAACCTCGAAAGTTTTTCAGTTCTGGGGAGCTGCTTTGGATGTTGTTGCCAGCGTACCCTTGCTCTCTCAATAAATTTTGGTCACTGTGGCTGTTCCTCGTGAGGGCGTGACTTGTGGGTGGGGGAAAGACGAAGTGCACTGATTTGGAAGGCCCCGGACTCCTGGCGATGAAAGGCGACTTCAAGGCAGACTGAGGGGGAAGGCCCATGTGGTTTGACTTGCTGAGATCCACACGGTTAATCGAAGGCTGTTGGATTGAATCCACAGAAAAGCTGTTTTGAGAAGAGGCCAGAGTCATCGACTGTGACGACTGACTTTTCTGCAACGAACCAGTGATATGCGTGTAGTTTTGCTCTGATATTGCGACTCCTTGAGGCGACTGTACATTTAATATCGTGTGATCGCTTTCCATGGGATGCTCAATAGATTGCATGGCGGTGCCAGGAATCGTTCGATGTTTCACCACTTTCTCAAAACTAGAAGCAAACACTGCCGGGTTGAAAAACTTGTTGGTGATGAGTGGTTTCCGGTCCGCCTCACAAGTGGATTGTTCTACTTTAGTCATCATAGTTCCCTTCAATGAGTCCAAGGCTTCGGAAGCATATGGTTGCATCAGATCCATCACTGAGAAGGAGTTATGTGTGGACGACGAGGGCGGGGTAGGTATAAAATGGTTCTGGAATGGGATATTGTGGTGAGAGGGCATCAGGTTCCCTTGAGAGGACATGGATATGGACTGTGATACTATGGCATCTCTCAGAACCGAGATCAGGGGATTCGAGGATACCAAATCATGAGGATTCTGCACTTGGTTCTGATTCAGTACATTGCGTGACTGCTCAACATCTGTCGTCAGGCTCTTCTCGTGCGGTTGAGAAAAGGCAGCTAGATGATGTTGTAGGTTAAGCTGAGGACTCTGGTTCTGTGAGCGGGGCAGTTGCACTTCGGATGATAGTGTTTTGTGAGGCACTGTCAAAGCCAGCGGCTGGGCAGGGGAAGACACGTTGGAGGAAGAGTTGGATCCTAGTCCCCCATTGCTACTGTTCAGACTACAGAGTGTGGGCAGAGGCGGCGATGCAGATGTTGGATTGGAATTGATGCTCAGGGGAAGACTGACTGTCACTGCTCCCTCCCCAACAGACCCGCCACCAAAACGGTCCCGATCATCAAATAGCCCAGAATAGGAGCCGGACGTCGATGATAAAAGGGTTCCATTGCTACTGACAGCTGTGGATGATTTGTTAGCTGACTTGTGAGATGATGTCTTGTCCCTGTCTCGTTCCTTGAGTGCCTGCTCTTTTGTCTCTTTGTCGTAGCCCCCGTGCAATCGCATGTGGCCATTGAGTGCAGGGAGGGTGGGGAATGTCTTGTGACAGACAGGACAAGTTGACTCTTTCTCGCTAAAAGACACCACATGAATGATTCGACATGACATGTACGAAATTTATACATCAACCGTTAAATATCAAGAAAAGATTACCCTTACTTTTGTAAAGTACATAACATGCATCCATTCTAGAAAATTGCTAGTATGCAGACACGATTTTCAATTAGTGCTATCCATGTAAGCAGTTCAAAGTTCACAGAGGCAGAGGTTCACAGCGTCAGAATAGAGTCAACGTCTGTCTAACTGTTTCATATAACAAGAAACTCTTGATTCCAGACAGGGGATGGACAGTGACACCCACTTAACTCTTATTATAACTGTTATAGATATATACTAAATGAATCCCCATCCCACAAACCCAGAAAAGGAGTGGCCATGTTCTCACAATCAGAGTTGTTTAAAGAGAACGAACAGTTGCATAAAGTGGGAGACCTACATTACATGAGAAAACATCAACAAAATAGAGCAGGTAAGAAAAAGAAGAACAAGTGAGAGCTATTGACAGGATTAACATCCTGAAAGTCGCTTTGGGTCAGGGGCGGATCTAGAATTTTCTCAAAGGGGGCGGATTTTCAAAAAAATTTCGAAAATTTTGTCGACCTTTTTTGTAGGTCGAACAAATTGATTATCTGAGCTCTCCCAAATCATTATAAATACCCCCTTTTGACCAAATTTTCTGCGCTGCAGGCAATTTTTGGAAAATTTTGATTAAAAAAATCGCGTTTTTTCGGCGCGCGCTACCCTCTGAAAAATTAGTATATATTGACTCCCAAGGCGCCTTTAGAAAAATTTTGAGTACCTCACCAAAAGATAGCTCAAAATAGTACAGAGGTGGACCCTTTGGGTCGGCAGGGGGTCGAATCCCTGAGGGGGGGCATCCGCCGCCCCCTTCCAAATCCGCTACTGGTTCTTCAATCCTCCCTCAGAAAAAAAAAACAAAAAAAATCAAAAATCCTTTTAAAAAAATTCTATTTTTCTATTTTTGAAAAACGACCTTAGTCGAAATATACTGCTCGTCTTGCACAACAGCCGGGTGAACTTGTTACATTCTCGTTACAACTAAAATAAGCTTTCAGAATGTTCCATAAGATAGAAAGTATTGACATAATAGTCCCAAGCATGTAAACTCCGCTTATTCACACAAAAATAAGGACAATATAGTTGTATTTAAAATTAATCATGAGTGAATGACTCACATGGTTGGGTTCTCGTCTGAGGCGGCGGCTGCTATGGCATACATCTGCGTCTCATTCCCATTTACCCCTTGGATAGTCACCAGCTGCACAAACAATCAACAAAACCGATAAACAACAACCACATATAAACATTAAACATAACATAACAACTCAAACAAATCATATCATAACTTAAACAGACTAAACCTGAAAAAGAAGTGTATGCGCTGATATGTTCCAAATGTGAGTTGACACGGTACAATGGCGCTAATAAAGTTCAATTTAGAGGTCGATTCGGAGCCAATGGAAAAATGGGAGAGAAGGGTGTGATCTTATCTGTCAAAGCCCTGAAGTTAACGCGACATTCCTATTGTCTCATCGTTTTCATAATAAATGAAGAAAAGATAGACTGCAAAATTACTTCTGTTAAAACGGAGTAAGCACACAGTCCAAAGAGCGTTAATGAAGTCGCATTAAAAAAACTTAGAGCAATTTATATCAAAATATTTTTCAAATTCAAGAGACCTCACGACCGACATATTTTTGATAGCATCAATCGAATTTGAGATTGGATCAAAAAACATTTTACATTCCTTTGGTTTTTCTAAAAATTGCATCCATTTTAAATATTGCCAGTGAAAAACATAACTCATCTTTTGACTGTGGAACCTGATCTAAACTACATTTTATGATTGGATAAATTAGATATTTTACCAATGTAAAGTATTTAATATTAACCAATCATGATCCATCTAACTAACAACCCACTTATTTGTAAGTGCTGAAGTTACTTGTAATTTCAGCACCAGAGAGATTTGAATTTAACTTAGAAATTAGTTGGACTCTCCCGAGCACTTCAGCAGCCGCAATAAACCAGTATACCCTAGATCTATTGAGCCTAGCAGAGACTAGTTAAACAACCTGAGACTAGATAGTATAAGAGTAAGATTAGGATCGGTATTAGACTAAGAAGTTGCACGAATCTATCCGGCCGAAAATAAGATAGCGTGACGAGCAGACGGTGTACCCTATCCGAAATTACTCTATGAGTTAACCAACTCGGTCCTAACTCATCTGGTGCGACCATAAGTCTCGAACAAGACCTTAATAGCTTAGAATTAACCAAAATAGATTAGAAATTAGACAAAAACATTTACAAAATGTTATACGACAATAATTTAATCGAAATGTCTCTACGACTCAATAGATCAGAGCCAATATTCCGAACCATAACAGAACTACCCGGAATTGGAAGAAGACCTCGAACCAGAGACGACATACGACAAAGTAGAAACTTGCCATATAGCTATATGATAGTTAGGCAAAAACCAGAACAAACTTTTATATTTAGAATATTACTGGCAATGAATTTAGATTTTCATTTGCAAACATAAAACCTTGAAGTTAATCTTCAAAATCATTTCAGGCGCTAAACAAAATTATTAATATACAATAACGATTGATAAAAAGATCTAAGATCGTTTTCCTAAAATTCTGCAGTAATATACAAAACATGTTTGAAAAATATTTATTGAAAAATAAAAAATAAAAATTAGTAGCATGACAATAAATGGTTAGTAATCATAAATCATCCTGTTGTTCCAGCTCCATCACCTAAAACATAACAGCAATCATAAACCCACTAATATCATCAAAACACTAAATCTTTCCTTTACACACATTTAAAATTTTATTAAAACTTAAATTCACTTAATTTTAAAACCAGATCATCAAGGCTTATCCTTGGATCTTAAATCATTTTCTACTTAATTAAATTTCAAATTTGATCATCAAGGCTTATCCTTGGATCAAACAGAACAACTTTGTTCTCCCCCACCCACTTAATTAGTGTCTAACGACCTCAAACGTCGATTCACTACCCAACCCTTTCTAAAGACCCAAGACTAATAGAAATTTTTAAACAAAACTAATCATTCAAATTAGGATAAACAGTGAAGAACTTCGGTTATTCATCCTTCACTTGACCCCCCCTCTTACCAGACCCAGGATAAATCTTAGACTTAGTAAGTTTAAAATAGTATCTAACGAACTACTCGCGTTCTAATTATACCTGAACCTTGTGGATCGATTTAATATTCTCCAACCCTTGAACACAATCACTACCCCTAAGTAAGATTAAGTAAGTTAACACCTTAACTTATACTAGCCACGAGAAAGTAAAAAATCATTCTTCGGAATCGATATACTTTTCTCTCCAACCCTGAACAAATAGACCCAGGTTAAGCTAACCAAAAAATCGTAAGAACTAACAGTTTAGGAAAATAGAAATCATTTAACAACCTTTTGCATCCGTCATCCTAAACCTTATGTCATTTAAAAACCTAGGAAATAAACAAACAATCGTTTTACACAATTGTGAAATAGATAACAAAAAATACGACCTTGTAATCACACCTCATACACAAACAGTTGGATACATTCGAACAAAACGACAAACACTAAAAAGAAAAATAATAACGAAACAAAGACAAATAACACGAAAAAGATTTTCAAAAAATCGAAACGCATTTTCAGAATCAGAAACCAACAGTTTAGACGAACTTTACAAACTAAAAGAATCAATAGATAAAAATTACCCACTTCACGATCAATTATATTTTTCTGACTCAGAAACAACTTCAAATTCATCAAAAAGAGGAAAAAGAAGAATAAAAAAGCAGTATAAACACAAACCAGTACATTTATACAATTGGAATCAACCAATTCGACACATTAATAATTACATATTAACAGTCATCGAACGAAAAAATGAGCTCAACGCACACCCCAGGTGAAGAAAGTCCAGATGATGATGAAATCTTTCCTTTTATAGTAGATGCAACCACTGATAGAGGACAGCATATATTTTGCAAAAATTTACTATTAAATTTATTTGAACCCGGAATCAGTCCATGTAAAACAGAGTTCCCAGATGTAAAAATCAAAAGACAAATCATAGACCACTATTTAAAAGATATATGCAACATAACACAACAGTATGGAATCTACTCCATAGAATTCACCTCACCAAACCATAATAATAGAAAATATACAATTCAAACAGACGATCTTGATTTAGAATTTTCAAAAGTTTTTTCAGAATATATAAAAAACATCCAATATCATAACTCACAAAGAGCAAACTCCATATTCACCAATGAAGTTTTCGCAATAATATATAGTTATATTTCGATATTAGAAAACGAAATCCCAATAACAAATGTCTCACCGACAGAAACATCTAAACATTTAAGAGTACGACATGAAATCACACTACTCTCTAGTTATTTAAACATCATTAAAGAAAATTTCACGAAAGACGACGTTTCACAACATACAAAACACGATCTACAAAAAATTTTGGCATGGTTCATAATAGATTATTTCACACACAATATTGATTTAATTGCACAAGCAAGAAAAAATTTTAGACCCCAAAACTCGAACGATGATACCGCTATCACAGAACAATCAGATTATGTTTGGGACCCCGAATGGTCTCATCCCGCATTTATAAGCTTCCCACAAACAATCTCAAGTCAAGCAATAAGTACGATATCTTACATAAGAGATTATGTAAAAGTAATACCATTAACCATTGATGCAACACCATTAAACTATAATACATTTTTACCCGATACACAAAATAATAGTTTAAACTCTACAGTTATACACAATGAAAACCTCAATGGAACTAGGAATCTTACTCAACAAGATATCCAGACACCATCACACTTCATAAATGAAGAAATTGTACACACAACAACTACACAACAAAGTATTTCACCAATACGCCCAAATTTAACAACACCAAGAAATACAAATCCTTCACAAACACAGGTAACCTTACAATCAACCGTTAAACCTTCGGTTGCTCCTAAATATTCACATATGGATTACCAAACATACAGACCCATGACAATACCATCAAAAACACACAAAACATTCACTAGAAACAACTTTGCAGACCATAATTATAATTATACACATCCATCAAAAACATATAACCAACCACAAAGAAATTTTAACCAATATACAAGATCTCGAAATTGGGATAACCCAATGACCCAACCTAATTCAATAAATTTCCAAACAAATCCTCCACAGGATCACAGTGAAAATTACCCATTTTTTCAACAAAATAAAAATAAAAAACAGACATCTTATCAAATGGATTATTTATCCTCAGATGATGATTTCTTACAACCAGATATATTTGCACCAAATACTCAAGAATATCGTAGACAAGGAATACAGAGAACACGTACAAATCATAGAAATTTTTCTCCACAACCAATAGATGCACAACATCAACAACCAATTCAACAACAAAATCTAATTAATACACAATCTTTTCAACCAATTCAACAACAAAATCCAATGACTGCACACTCGTATCAAGCATCACAAATGCAAAATGAAATACCACTCCCATATTATCTCCAACAACATGAAATAACAAGAAACCAACTTTCGAATTTTTCTCAAATGCCAAATGCAGCAGAATCATTACAAATGACAATGAATCCATACCTTATGGGTGGATCATCAATAACATCAAACAAACCTTTAATGGTTTTCACAGGAACAGACCCTGAATACTCTGTAGAAGATTATTTAAATGCAGTAACAGCAAACCTGATTTTAAATATTGGACCTGAACCAATTAATACGCCACTACATCAAAATTGGATACATCGACGCACAGCGTTAATACAAACAACCTTAGATGGCGCAGCCCAAAAATGGTTTTCAGTACTACCTCTAGAAATAAAATCAAACTGGAAAAGGTTTACACAGGAATTTTCAAAAATGTTTGACTCCGAAAGAAACAAACAACAACAAAGAGTTTTATGTAATGAAATTCGCAGATTACCAAACGAAACCATCAAGCAAATAGCAGTACGAATCGAAACACTAGTTCGAAAAGCATATTCATTAAATACACATGACTATAAAAACACAAAGATGACAGAAATCTTAATGATGACCTTAACACCACAATTAAGGAAAATAGCAATAAAAAAGAGAGCATCCCATCCTTCTTCAATTCGAGAACCCGATTTAGATTTTCGAAAACTAGTAGACAAATTAGAACAAGCAG